TAGGGAGTTCTAAAATACCTTTCAATTGCTCACATTCTTGAGCGTGATTTAGTTTAAGTTATACTGTATCATGTTATAGAAATTTTTATAAGCTGTATGATTCAGTCCAATGCTTTCTTCCCAAATGTACATTCATTACAACAACATTAATATTAAACACCCTGGTTTTTGAAAAGTGTAGAGGATGGAGTAGGATAGCAGAGAAGAACAGGAGGCACTTTAAGAATCTGCAGATTATTGATGGATATCAGCTGTAGCAGCTTTGCAGTTGTGTGATAGTTCTTTTGCTCAAGGGTGTATATGTTTGGCAAGCTCTGAAATGTCGATGCTGGTCTGAAGACTTGTAAGAATAGAAATTACTTAGATATAAAATCTCCTTGTGTGAACATTTTATTTCTTGTATTTCCTTGAAACCAAATTCTGTATTTGGGTTCCTTTGCTATTTACCCAAAACATTCAGAACCTGAGGGCTAAACAAACAAGACATTCCCAGAATGCCCAAGTTTACAGATTAAGTACATAAGGAGTACTTTGCTGGCATCAGAAAAGGAAATATGCTATCTATGGAATTAGTGTATGGATAAATACATAACGAGTCAGACAACATGATGATGGAAATCTTCCTTTCCCCGATTATTCCTAATAAGTCTATAAATTCTGTATAAGGATGATAATGTTGCTTAGAAACACTGAACTGAGCAATGTGATTTAATGTAGCCACTGGAGATATCTCAAAAATGACATTTTAGCCTTGCTTTTGTTCGCAACATAGTTGCCAAAAGTGAAGAAGTTAAACCACTTGTCAGATGATCTGCCTAAAATCTGAGCACTTACACTTTCCTTTGAAATGAAAAGCAATTTTTACTTGAGTAGGGAATACATGGGAACAAACAAAAGGCAGAGATAGATCTAGCTCTAGCAGCAATCAAAATAAAGAAGTCTCCATCCAATCCAAACTTGGAAATAGTTTTTCATATCACTTATAACATGAATTTAGAGGCATTGCTATGCTCATTTGAGCTGAGATAGGGTAGTGTTTTGAAAAAACAGTTATACAGTTTTATAGCCGCTAGCTGCTTTTGCTTATGTTTAAAGTAATATCTCTGTCTGATTCCTTGTGGAGGCCTTCCTGATTTTCATAGATACTTGGTAGTCCTTTGCATCACATCTGTAACAGCTGCATACAATGGTACACATGGTGTGATTCTTGAGGCTTCCTTTGCAGGGCCAGGCACAGGACTTCTATGACCCATGTGGTCCCTTCTAACTCAGTATATTCTATGATTCTAATGTTGATGTAAATACATCAAAATTTCCCTGGCTGGAGTTTTGCTGTTTTTAAGCTTGTCCTAGCCCTCATCATGGCCAGGGGAGATAGCTCTCCAAGGCACCAGAACCCTGAGGACGTCAAAATGGCCATGGCCTTGCTGCCTGCTTCTGTTAAGTCAGATCACTAGGAGAAGCCAGGAGACCTGATGCAGACAGACAGATGCTGCTGGGGTTGGTGAAGGATCCATTTCCAGTAGCACCACTCAGTGTTTCCTCTTTTGTATCCCTCATATTCCTGGTGGATGCAGCAGCTCCAGTTCTCCACATACTTCCCTATCTTTTCCCCTTCCTCTTTCCCTTTCGGGTGTCAGAAACTCCTGAACTTTTCCTCCTCTCTTCCCTACAGTAATCTATTTCCTCAGTGTACAGTTCAAATGTGAGTCTACTGCAAGAAGTCTTGAATGGGCTCAGCAGTGAGCCCCACAAATAACGTTGCTGGACATGGATGTGTTCAACAGTCAGAGCTGACGCTGCTTCACAGATTCCCTCCCTATTACTGTGGTGGTCAGGCCCTGACCAAAAAAACAGTTGAGCAGAGGAAGTAGGCTCTGAAGTTGTGATTCCTCTTCTGGCCCTGGCTCAGTTTTCCTTCACAGTTTTAGCTGAATCTTATCTCCAGTGTGCTTTAGTCCTATTGATAGAACTTCCTATCTATTTTCTGTCTCTGCATGGATGTCTCAGAAGATAGGCTGCAAAGGATAATGTGAAAATCTCAGTTATGGAAGATAAGAAAAACTGAACCCAAAGAAAGGTAGTTTTTCTGTTAGATACGTGGATAATACATATGGTGGTCCACAGAGCGTAACTTAACTGCATACAAAGACGTAAAACAATAAAGATTGAGTTCTTAGTGCAATACCAGCAATCACAACCTTCTAGTAAACACCTCTGGGTATCAAAGAAACATTCACAGGCCTTTTTACTGAGTACAAGACTGCATGCTGGATGAAAGCTAAACCATTGAAATACTGGTGTATGATATGCAGGTCCCAGGAAGCGTGAAATTCATGTAACAACTTTTCTATAAAAATGAGCTTCACTGATCCCAGCACAGTAATAAATAGTAGCAATGATCAGAATAGCAGTAGTAATTTGAGCTTATACAACACCTTTAGTTACAGTATTTTAAATCATTTTACAAAAATAATTATCTCAGCCTCTCAACTTACTGAGAATTACATTTACTAAGTCCTTTATTTGTGTTCTATATATGGAACCAATGAAGTTCTGAAAACAAAATGATTTTCTATAAGTTCATGAAGCATTCATTAGCTCAGACAAGGACTTCTGCAAGATCTGGGTTCCTCTTTTTTTAATTACTTCTGTTTTTCTAAAAGACATTGCTAGACAAACTGAAAAACTACAAACAGAAAAAAAATACCTAGGGAGGAAAAATTTAATCTCCTTCTCCTCTCCCATCCCAATAATAAAAGGAAATCATACCTGTGAACTGGATATGAAGTGAGATTTATGGAATTATTTACTCTGCAATAGACTAAAAATTAGTTTCTGTGGCAACCACTGCACCTTCTGAAATACAGAATACCTTTACAATAAACGTAAATACAGCACAACAAAGTCTTTAGCTTATCTTTTATTATTTTAATAAGTAAGAATTTATGCTGAATATAAATATACATTAAATGATCTTTCATATATTTTTAATGTTATGTTCTGTAATGTGTGCATTTTTAGAAAGGAATTAATATTTGCTGGCAATGCTGGCGTTTGTGTTTTGTCCCTGAGAGGATAATGCCAGAAAAAGTGGTTTGAGAATGCTGCTGATATGTGAAAAGTTGGGAGTCCATGATGGTTTCCTTATTAAGATTTTATAATTTATAAAGTTCACATCTCTAACACTCAGAAAAGATTCAAATGAAAAGTGATCTTTTTAGTATTGATAACAGTCCTACTCTGAGTAAGAAATTGTACTAAATTATGTCTGTTTCACACCATATTTCTATTATTTTATGAATAAATACCTTATGAATTAATTTGTGCTGATTTGAAAGTCTCCTGTCTCATATATATACATCTATTCATATAGGTAGAAGTAATTCATTAAACCATATAAAAGTTTCATTTAAAAGACTGTGAAACATGCCTGACATGTGACAGAAGTCATGGTACAGAGGTTGTTTTGAGAAAGAGCTGATGGAAGAAATCTGAGCAATTTCAATATAATTTCTTTGATTTTTCATTAAAAAAAAAAAAGGAGCAAATATATTCTACTAAAATTCCTCTGGAAACAGGGTGAATTTTATTTGCTTTTACTTTAGATGCTTGGAAAAGTGCTGAGCTCTTCCTGTACTAAATCACATTATTTGACATCATGCATTTAAGTATCCATAGGCTCATAATACTCAGGGAGAAGGTTACTGCCAGGAGCAGAGACACTGGAGTTTTTGAGATTTTGGATCCAGCAAAACCATTGGCCTACCTTGGTGAAAGGATTCCAGGATTTTCCTCCCATGGAGAATTTTAATAAGCTTGTTTTTCACTCTGGCTCTGAACATAACTGAATTTTGAGTTTTCCATGGAATAAAATTAATGTCTCAGTGAAGAATGAAAGCTGACACAGTTATGCAATATGTAACAGAAATCTGTGTAATAATCCATGACTATATAGCTTTTTCTCTCACTTCTTTTGTAAGTAATTATGTCTTAGGTATTACAACGGAGTGAGTTACTATATTTTTTTAAATTTTATTTTTCAGAAGAATACTCATGATACTGCATTTGAATATGCTAAGACTTTTTTCTACATTTTAACCCAAAATAATTTTATTTTTGTAACATCTCTATAAAAATGTAAAAATATTTTTGTGATCTGACACAGAAATGTACCAAAACAAGTCCTTGAGTTGTTAGTATATGGGGGATTGAATCAGAAACAAAACAGCTTCCTCAAATGTGAACAGAGTGTTTTGTTCTGAGTAAGGCATGAGGAGAACAGTTAAGAAAAGGTCATAGCCAAAAGGAAAGAGGCACAGGAGGGTTTATTAGACAAATGGGACTATTTCTTCATTGCTATAGAGGGCTGAAAAGTTATCTTACATAATTTTCTCTAGCTGAAAGTTTAACATGAGTTCTGCCTACCTTGTGCTTGTTGTTTGCTGTTAGAAGGATGAAGAAGGGTTAATATACTGCAGTAGGCTTCAGTAGAAATGTCTGGCAATTTAACACAGTTCCTGTGCACTCCAGTAGCTGTCATGCTCTTCTAGTGATTTTCTATTGGAAGTCTCATTGAGGTCTTTAAACTTCGGTGATCGTACCTTATACTTCAGACTATAGACAGAGATTTCTGAGGTTCCTCCATTTCTAATAACTAGTGACAAATAAAACAAAGGTATTTTGTGTTGCAGAATGTTTTGACATTTTCATTCCTTGCAGAAGGATGAGGCAAACACTGGAAACCACAAATATCTTGTTGGAAAAATTTGCAGTACTTGCTTTCCATCAAAATATGAAAATAGCTCAGCAGAATTCCACTGAACCTCAAGATTTCAGTCATCATTATTAAGTCTTTTTATAGTCAAGGGAAAGAAATGGACACTTCTAAGGTACAGTCATAAACCATGTACCCAAAATTATTGAGTTCAATTGTTCTGTAGAAATACTCTGAGTTGGAAGGGACCCAAAAGTATCATCAAGTCCCACTCTTAAGTGAATGGCCTACATGGGGATTGAACTCACAACCTTGGTGTTATGAGCACCACGCTCTAACCAACTGAGCCAGTAAAACACACTTGTTCCAGTTAAAAAAAGGAATTCTCTCATCTGTGTTAAAATGACCCCAAGTAACACATCTTGCTTCATTTTTCTGAAAGAAAAATAACAGATTCCTAGTAAAAGTAATATTTCTTTCCTGTGTTCTCAAAACTAACATTTTTCCTTAGAAAATCATTAAATAAAAGCCACAAAAAATATTAGAATAGCTAGATTGAGGCCCGATGCCTGTTAGCTGGTGACACAACAGCATTAGTTAAGTTCTCTGTTGTTCCCTTGCAAAACAGAGTGTTGATGATTGAATAGCGCTGCATGAAGGGCATGGCATTTGGGGGTTTGGGACCCAAGGGCAGGACCTGGCACTTTGTTGTGTTGAACTTCAGACAACTGGCCTTGGGCCATCAAACCAGCCTGACCTGATCCTTCTAGAACTTTCCTGCCCTCCAGCAGATCAACAGTCCCTCAGCCCAGCTTGGTGTCCTCTGCAAACTGATTGAGGGTACACCCAATTCCCTCGTCCACATCACTGATGAAGAAATTAAACACAGCTGGCCTCAATACTGAGCCCTGGGGAGCACCACTGGTGACAGGTCACCAAATGAGTATATCTACATCTATATGTACAATCAAAAGTGTACTCTTAAAGGGCTCTGATATTGTGGGGCAGTTTTCAGGAGCCTGAGCCCTTGAATCTCCTCTTTGATGTGAAAGCCAGCATATATCACATTCAAATGTGGAATAAAATTTTGTGTAAATTTTGAAGATCAACAACTGGAGATGATGTTGTTTGGCTTTGAGCAGAGAGATGTTTATATTGAACCTCTGAAAATGGGATAGTGGATCCTAAAAAAAGTCATGTTGAAAATTTTGAAACTTCTGCCTTTGACAATTTAATAGGCTAAATAAAGTTTCATTTATGTACATTGCATAGATACATTATTAGATAAAAACCTTATTCGATAATACATTATTAGATAATACTGTTATGTCACTATGACAGTCTTATTGAATCCTTCTGCTGAAAATCAATGGACTTGCAAGAACATCAATAATGTTCATCAGTACAGATAAAACCTTCTGCAGCATCTTTATCACTTTTCTTGAAGTAGCTTAAGTTTCTGATTAATTATTCATCTTCTCTAATGTCTGAAGATAGGTCTAGATACATTTAATTAAAAACCATCAGCTGATGAACAGTGTTGCAGAAGGTTCTGTGGGTCATCTTTCTGGTGCCTTACTCCTCTCCTTGATGTTTAAAGGAGTTATCCTGATGAGGTTATTTTGTCAGGTTTCTGTCAGACTGTCTTTCCCACATTTTGCAGTTCATTGCTGCAGTCTCTGATAATCTTACCACACTGACTGGCTGCAGTTATTACCCTTTATATGAAGGATCTATGTTGAAAGCCAGTTATGAGTTTTTGTCCCAGTGGATTGCATGATGAAGTTGAAGCAGGCTGTCATCCAAAGCTGTATAATAGCCTCAGCTGGGAAATACAAAAGTGCCATGGATTATTGATAGAGTCATATCTGCAGTTCTGCTGACAAATTTGATGCCTCTTTTGCTAGGTTTCTGTTATTAAGAAATACCTCTCTTAGTATGTCACCCCCTTTTCTCTCCCTGCATGTTCCATTTGGCTCGGCTTGTGATTTGGCTTTGTGACACATATACAAGTGAAAAATTATATACATAATAACCCTAATATTGCAAGGAAAAATTATGTACTTAACAAAGTTCTAATGATCTTAATTTAAAACAAAACCCTAGAAGTATAAATTTAACAGACCATTTAAAGTTATTTTTTATTCTACTTTCAAAGTACTTCATAAAGCATTAAAATACATCATTTTTCCTTATCTTGAATATTTACAGTACAAAGGAAGAGAGAGAGAGAAAGGAAGATTATTCTACCAGTTCTTAATAGTTTAACTGTCATGCTGGTAAAATATCCCTTCACTTATTCATCAAAATTATACCCTGATTGGTATAGAAAATCTTCTTGCCCCTTCATTACATTGTATAGCATAATTGTTATAAGGAAAACTGAAAATATAATTTTGAGGATTTTGATTGACATGACTGCAAAAAAGTTAACTATTTATATCATTGTGACAATTCTACCACTTCTACTCTGTGTTGCAGGTAAATTTTTTTCTAGGTGAAGCCCAAGATTATAAAAGGTAAAATAGGGTAAGTTATAGTGGCAACAGGGATTCTGCAAAGCAGGTTTCACTTCTCAGTCATCTATTCAGTCATGCTATGGAAGCATGAGATGCAGTATTTGGCTAAGACTGAAGTATGGGTCCAAGATGGAAATGTTGTGACAGAAGACACAGTGGTAGCAGTTAAGGAGACATTAAAAATATCCTTGGTATTTCAAAATATCGAGACTAAATTAATTAAAAAAGGTCTTGGGTGATCATTTTCAGAGAAGGGAGACACCACTGCTCAGGGCTGTGATCATTCACCACCTCTGCTCCAGATCATAAAATGTTTTGACTGCTCCCATGTGCAGTATTCAGTCCTTTCTCCACCAGAGAGGATCTGGCTGGTTTTTCTGATCATCAGCCTGAGGAGTTTGTGCCACTGGTTTCAGTTCTGAGAGGGGCTAGTTGAGATCTACTTGAATGTCTTAAAATGAGGCTGAAATTAATGTCTTAAATTGAGTGCTGACCTGTCCCTTTTATTAGCTCTTTTATTTTTTTTTTTAAAAATCCAGAATAAATGAGAAAAGAAATAGGAAAAACCAGAAAGCCATCCCCATTTTAATAAAAACAATGACAGAACAAGGGCAGTGAGATCAAGTTTTCAAAGTCCTTTAACCAAGTGAAATTTTGTTAAAGACCAGATATTCCAAAAGACTCCTGAATATGAACACCTAAGTACCTGTCAGTGGTAAATCAATCACTTTGTGCCAAATGTCCCTTGTGCAAGGGAGCATTAAAATATTCTGTTTAGTGTATAAATGCTGTGAGAATTACCTTTCACTTATTCATTTTGAAATAAGTATTTGTACAGAAGTTACTTAGCTGATTTTGACACATTGCTCTCTGAGGTGAATGGTACCTCATTAATCTCTGCTGTATGTCATTTGTGTTGTCCTCCTTTGGGTGCCAGCAGAAAAGGGGCCTCTTGGCTTGGTATAATCAGACTGCTGTACTCCAGGATACATGGAACTCCAAGGAGGGAAAGAGAACTTGCTTCTTCTTGAAAACTCACACAGAAGGGACAGTCTTCTCAGCATGTTGTGGGATAAGGAACTGAGGAGGCACGTGGGTGGTCTGGAAGCCTGCAGAACAGTGGAGACTGGGCAATGGAAAATCATGTATCTATCCTTCAAGGTGAAAGACTGCAAACTCTGTTCTTCTAGACAGCCAAAGATGACTGTGGAGGTTGCAGCAATCTGTGAAAAAATTGCACAGCTTATGTATTGAGCAGATCTGAAGGAATGACACCAGCTTGCAAGAAGAAAAGTGTCTTTCTAGTTTTCTCCTAATTACAAAGAAAGAGGAAAAGAAAATATTTGAGTTCACTTAACCTTCTGGGTTTCTTTCATATGAGAAAAATGTGTAGAGTGAAGTATCAAGGTTTGGCAGGCTCAGGGACCTGTCATGACAAGAATGTTGTGATGGTACCTTGAAGGCATGTGTGTGGAGTGTATTCCTTTTTATGGTAAACACAGGCAAAAGGCAACTATCTAAAAGTGTTAGCCACTTGTCTGTCCCACCTATGTTTTCTTAAGTATTAAAAAGACAAGTCATGGAAAAAATGTGATTTTGGAGACGGGTATTGCTTGGATGGATACACTGAGGTACCATTGCATAAACCAGTACCTATGAGAAATGGTATCTGAGTACACCTACACACAGAAACATTTCTGTGTATTGTGTGCATGTATATATATTTGCACGCTTTTGCACACACAGAGACATTGAGATTCATTATTGTAGTTGTACACGTGCATCCCACTGCTACATATCCTTTTATCATAAATTAAATAACATTTCTTTTCTCTATCACTGCTGTTTTAGAACAAAGAAAAATTGTATTTAATCACAGTTTAATCTTTCAAGACTTGCACAAAAAAAATATTCCAGGAGAATTCAGAACAGCATATTGTAAGCTCTTGTAGAGGATCTCCTTTGATAAATATGTCATGTTTTTTAAGATGACATATTCTGGATGAGCATAGATAGACTGACAGACTGCATAATTATGCAAGTCCAGGAACATTCCTGAAAGACCTGTGCAGAGCATATTAGGTAACATGTTTTGTATATTTTTCAAAATATTATGTTGCCATTTTCTCAAGAGCTGATGTGCTCAAAGAGCAAGCACAGAGCATGCACAATGGATTAATGGTGAGAATTTCTTAATCCTGTTAAAGAATATTGAAATGCAATATCTAATGGGAGGTAGTCAAGCATACTTTTACATACAGTTTTATTCTGCCTCTCCTTCTTTCTCTGCTACTGAAATATTAAGTAATTGAACCTTATTTTGTGCAACTGTTGGTGAGGAATTTGCAGTAAAATTGAACATATTTTACAAATTAATTAAAAAAAATAATATGGAGGTTTGTTTATTTTATGTTCCGTATTTCTGAATTTAGTGTTTGGGGAATGTGAGAACTCTGCCAGCTGATATGTCAGACCGCAGGTTCTCCCAGACTAATTTGTATTACTAAGACCTGTACCTGGTGTCTTTCATCCCCACAGACTGGAGTCTCTTAGGACAGTTTGTGTCAAGAATCCCAAAATAGGGGATGAAGGTAGATGTATTCAACAAAGACTGCCAGCCAGCTCTTTGGTTGTGATCTATTGGCTGCTTGCATCATCCAGACTGATGGCTGGTACCAAATAAACTTCCCCAAAGGAGGCAGCAGCAAAGTAACCACAATGTGTTTGGGTTTTTTATTTTTTTCTTATTTTCTTCTTTCTGAGTTAGGAAAATTAGAGAATTGAGATTTTAACTAAAATAGGAGCAGCTTATGAGAAAATTCAGAGTAAAAGAGATGA